CGAGCTTATCGCTCGATGTACACGCTATCAACGAGATCGAATCCGCGTCCGGTGTACTCGCCAACGTACCCGGCGCGCTCGCCGACCTCCCATGCGCGAGCGAAGGTTCCGTGGTGCACTTCACGACCGTGGACCCAGTACGCACGTCACCAGCCGCAGCGCCCGCGTCGGAAGGCAACGCAATGACCAATGAGTTCGTTGCGTGCCTCTCCGTCGCCAAGAACGGGTGCTAGGCCGGTGTAGCAGCAGGCCCATCGTACCTGCTGCTCCCACTTTGTGAGACGGCGCGTCTGGAGGGCCTTCGAGCTCTACCAGGCCGCCTCCTGTTTCTCTACCACCGCACGCGGCAGATACGTCGAGCTCGTCGCTCGATGTATCCTCCGGTGCCTTCTTTCTGGATGCGCGCGACGCACGCCCGTCTGTGCTGGCCGCCGTCCAGCACGCCCCTACTTGGCGTAGTGACGCACCCGGAGAACATGCCAGTTCTATCGGGTCGTCCGTTTCTCTTTCGACACCGCCTCGCGCTATGCGTACGTCGAGCCCACCGCCCGACGTACACGCAGCCGAATCCCGGGACGCGCGCGACGCACCCTCAAGTGTGTTTGCCGCGACCCCTCAAGTTTCCGTTTCGATGCATACGCATCCACCGTCAGCACCTGCAGTCGATGCAGCGATCAACGAGATCGTTGTATTCACTGTCAGAGAACCTCATGAGGTGCTGAATCCATGCGACGCGCTAGTTTACGAGCTCAGCGGCGTTACGACGCACGACGTGTTCGGTGTGCCATCCAGCACGACCGACATGTCTCCCACTTCGACTTCGACTACATACCGTCGTTCTACAAGTCGCCGCACAGTGGGTACGTCGAGCTACGGCGTACTCAAGGATGTACCCGGCGTGTCATCCGACCCCTTACATGCGACCGAGGCGTACCCCACGACCACGAGGGTGCACCCGGTACGTACGTCACCAGTCGCAACACCCGCGTCGGAAGGCCACACTACGAACAACGAGTTCCTCGTGTGCCTCCCTGACGTCAAGAACGGGGTACTGGACTTGTGCAGCAGCACGACCCAGGACTTGAACGACGCGCGTTCAAGTCCAGCTCCGAGCGAGAAGACTGCGCAGAACGCAGGGAACGTCGAACAAGGAGGCTGCGAGGAGATCAAGAAGGGGAAGAGGAGAAGGGAGGAGGAAGGACGTGAGGCGAGCAGAGAAAACGAGCACGAAGGCTCGAGAACTGCAGGTACGACCTCACCGGACGTCCCTGCATGCCCGCCTCCGCTCCCTGTGCCCGCGTCAGCAGGCGCAGTTGTGACGCACGGACCAGCAAGGTCTCGGCGTCCAGTGGACGCCGCCGCGATGGCGAAGACTCGCGGTTCGACCTCGGCATGGCTATGTCGAGCCCTTACATGTCTGATACCGGCTGCATGTACGAGGACTCGACCTCGTGTGAATTCACGTCGACCGGGCGAGTTGCCGAGCAAGGTACTGACCTCATCGTACTCGATAACGAAGCCGCTGTCGTGTTCGACGACGCTGACCTCGGACATCTCACGTCCACCTCAATATCGCGATGTTCATCCTGCAATCAATGCCGCCCGATGTACGCACAGGGACAGGACCTCGTCCGTGCGCCATGTACCCTCGAGTACAGCGGGCGCATTTCAAACATCAACCGCACTCCAAGCATTGGGTACGTCAAGCAGTACTACTGATGGCACGACGTGTGGATGCTACGAAGCAGTGCACCTCTGCTGGTGTACTCTGCGAAGCACCCGGACTAACTCTTACCTCTGCACCATCTGATCGGCAAAGTACGTTAAGCTAGAGCATTTAGATAGGTAGCAGTACATACTTCTTCAACGGCTCTCAATGGGGCATCATAGATACTTCAGACATCTTAAAAGTAAGGTCTTAAGATTGTATAATGCTTGAAGGCAATTTCAGAAGTCTTCAGGGTACTTCATGAAACATCTGACGCATCCCGATGACATAAATCTATGAGATGAGAGGAAAAGCCGGTTAAAGATTGCCAAAGTGTGATTAAGGGAAATGGGTTTTTCCTGATGACTACTACGGCTCAATGCGTCGCATCGAGGTTTCACAGGTCGATAATGACTTGGTGGAGCACACCGAGACCTCACACGGAGACCATACGTCATATGGGCTTCGTGTCTTCCATATTCCTCGCGATGTTAGCATGCAGGACAGTGTCTTCGAGCTCGAGTGGCGCCGCGCGCTTAGTAATGGTGCTGACAACATCGACCTCGAGTCGATAGACAACGTTGCAGTACGCGAGATCCTGCGTCGAGGCCCATCAATTGAAGCCGTCTCTGAACGCAGTGGTATAAGCTATGAACACATAGCCGAGGACTTCGTGGGACCTGCACCAGTGGACGCTGCAGTTGCCACTGGGTCAGGCGAGCCCGACGCCATGTCGATCTCTTCTGACGACTCGATACCATCTCTTGAAGAGATACCCGAGTCTGATCATGTTGTCCCGGACTTCACTGACGAAGAGACGTATGCTCTCGCGCTTACAGGCCGCTTGCGCACGCTGTGCCGCGAACTCCTTTGGACACGATACGAGCTGCTGCGCAGCCTCGAGCGCTACCGGCCAAGCGCAGAAGATCGCGAGCGCATTCGCAATCGACTGGACAACCAAAACTGGTTGGTAGGTTCCATGAACATACCAGATTTATCTTACGACTATCTAGACGAGCCCTCGTTTGGCACGACCATTGCACTTGCCGAACAAGTGCTCAGAGAAGATGCAGACATGCATGACCCACCTCCGCCATACCCGGCATTACGAGCAATGCTGGCTCGTACTGGACGCATTCCCGACGCGCCCAACTCGAGTGTACAGCCCCTCGCAACACGTGCTACCGTGCGACGCGCTGTAACAGGTCGTCGACCTGACTTAACTCGGTATGACCAAACATGCCTTACCGCTTACCTGACAATCAACGGATTGCAGGCCTTAGTACTCCTCGACTCCGGAAGTACTACTGACTCCATAAGCCCCGACTTCGTGCGAGTCGCTGGTATCGAAGCTTTTGAACTCGAAAACCCGGCGATCCTTCAACTTGGCTGTGTCGGAAGCCGTTCACGCATCAACTACGGCGCGAACGTACCCGTGATCTGGGGTCAATTCAAAGGTGAGGTCTACTTCGATGTTGTGAATCTTGACCGCTACGATGCAGTGCTCGGCACACCGTTCATGCGGAAATTCGGTGTATGCCTTGACTTCGCGAAGTCGGCAATCTGCATCGGAGACATTGCGATACCCGCATTGCTTCCGCGGGAGGAGGAGGACGCCGCAAATAGACGGCGACGTACCTTCCCTTCTCGCCGGAGTGTCACAAATACATCGCAGCAGACGCCTGCTCCGTCTGCGCCCCCGCCTAATCCCTCACATTGACTAGCCGAGATGGACAGTAGTGCGTCACCCGACCCACTACAAACCGTCTCGTTCCACCGTATTACTGCTAATGAGTCAACTCCAGTTGCAGACGAAGCGCGCATCACACAGATCCGCGAGCAATTCATGACGAAATACGCTGAACTCTTCGGTCCAGTACCACCTGGACTACCCCCGGTACGAGAGGTCAATCACACTATACCCCTAGTTGATGACCGAAAACGGTACACTTACTATCTACCTAAGTGCCCAGACTCTCTCAAGCCCAAATTGCTCGAGAAGATACAGCTCTACACCGCCAATGGCTGGTGGAAAGAGTGCCAGACAGAGCAAGCAGCACCAATGCTCTGCCTCGCGAAGAAAGACGGCGGACTACGCACCGTCGCAGACGTTCGCCAGCGCAATGCAAACACCATCAAGGATGTAACGCCTTTTCCGGATCAAGACCAGATCCGGAATGACGTTGCCCGCGCTCGATACCGCTCGAAGATCGACATGTCAAACGCCTATGAACAGGTGTTAGTAGAACCGAAGGACGTCCACAAGACCGCCTTCGCGACGATCTATGGTACGTTCTACAGCCTTGTTATGCAACAAGGGGATGCGAACGCCCCGTCTACGTTCCAACGCCTCATGACATCGATCTTCCGCGATGCCATAGGGATATTTGTCCATGTTTATCTGGACGATATTTTTGTCTTTTCAGACACTCTCGAAGACCACGAGAGACACCTTGAATGGGTTTTCAAGAGGCTTCGTGAAAATCGACTGTACCTCAGTGTCAACAAATGCGCATTATTTGCGAGACGAGTTGACTGCCTCGGACACATCATTGACGAGAAAGGACTCCATGCAGATACTGACAAAATGGCCCGAGTTCGCAACTGGCCTGTACCTCGGAACTACCACGAAGTACAACGCTTTATCGGCCTTGTGCAGTATCTCGCTCACTTCATGCCTAACCTCGCAGCATACACAGGTCCAATTTCGAGCATCACACGAAATGGTCAGTCATTCGACTGGCGACCTATCCATCAAAAGTGCTTTGACGAAATCAAGGCACTCGCGTGTAAGACACCCATCCTACGACCAATCGATCCTAGGAATTCCGACCCCATTTGGGTCATTACTGATGCGTCTACATCAGGAGTCGGCGCTGTATATGGCCAGGGCCCTCAGTGGGACAACTGCCGCCCGGCTGGCTTCATGTCGAAGAAGTTCACGTCCGCGCAGCACGCGTACTTCACTTACGAGATGGAGGCCCTAGGCGTCCTCGAAGCACTCCTTAAATGGGAAGACAAACTGATCGGACGACATTTCAAGATCGTCACTGACCATCGCGCGCTCGTCTTCATACAAGACAAGCGGAAGCTCGCGCCACGACTCGAGCGTTGGACGGAATACCTCAGTCGCTTTGACTTCGAGATTGTGTACGTCCAAGGCTCCAAGAACCTCGTTGCTGACTCGTTCTCTCGTTATTTTTCTAGCGAGGGCGCCGACGTATTACACGAGCCACAGGACTATGTCTCTGCAGACATAAGGATTGATCCTTACGGTGAGACCCTATCTGACGCCCGACTCGCAGAGATCCGAGCTCAACGTGTTGTTGAACACGTCGAGCCTCGAGTCCGCGAAGCCGAGGAGCTTGCGGCTCACTTCCCGCAAGACCCTGGTTCGTCCGACTCCGACGCAGGCTCGTCATCCGGTCAGGACGACCCTACTGCAATTGATTCTGCAATCGCTGGACCACCACTAGACACGGTCGTCCAGCAAGCCCTCGACCTGCAATCAACCGTGCGATCCGGCTACGCCAAAGATCGCTTGTTCAAGGCCATCATGGACCATCCTGAAGACCATCGCATGTTCTTCGTACGCGATGAACTACTTTGGTACAAACCTCGTCCAGATACTGAGGTATTATGTATACCTCGAGTCACGGTACGTCGTCGGCTACTCCCTGAGATCATTCTCGACGAGGCGCACACTGCGCTGGGTCATCTGGGTGCTCGGCGCACGTCGGACTATGTTCGACGATGGTACTGGTGGCCCAACATTGGCAAGGATATAGCCGCCTTCTGCGCGAGCTGTAGCACTTGCCAAATGTCCAAATTCTCGCGTCAGAAGCCAACTGGGCTGCTACATAGCATGCCTATTCCTTCGCGACCTTGGCAATCTGTCGGAATGGACTTTGTCGGTCCATTCCCTTCGTCGCGAGGGTTTGATTACCTCTGGTTAATTATCTGCCGACTAACCTCACATCTCCACCTTATTCCTGTGACGACTCGAGTACGAGCGTCCGAGCTTGCTTGGCTCTATTTCAAGGAAATAGTGAGACTGCATGGTCTTCCCGAGTCCATAGTTTCGGACCGGGACCCCAAATTCACGTCGAAGTTCTGGAACGAACTTCATCGACTCATGGGTAATAAGTTACTCATGTCGACTGCATTTCATCCACAGACTGACGGCGTCTCGGAACGTGCTATCCAGACCATTTCGCAGATTCTGCGAAGCGTCGTTCGACCTGATCAGACCGACTGGGTCGACCGCCTACCTCTTGTCGAGTTCGCAATCAACTCGAGTGTCAATGCCTCGACTGGGTTCGCACCATTCGAGCTCACCTACGGATACATGCCCCGGATCATGCGCACACTCGAAAACACGCCCGCGATGCCCGGAGTACGAGCATTTGCGGACCGTGCAGTCGAAAATCTGCTGATTGCCCATGACGCAATCATCGAGTCGCGCGTCACTCAGACGACGCATGCGAACCGTCGCCGACGTGCTGACAACCCTACTGGTGATGACCAACCTCGATACGAGGTTGGCAAACTCGTCTATTTGAGTACTCATAATCTATCCCTACCGAAAGGACGAGCTAACAAGCTCGCCCCACGCTATGTAGGCCCCTACCGTATTGTCAGGGCACACCCCGACACATCAAATTACACACTGGAGCTACCAGACGTGTTGCGGAAGCGTCGCATTCACCCGACCTTCCATGCGTCGCTCCTTCGGCCTCATCAGCCGAATGATGACACCATGTTCCCGGGCCGAGACGTAACAAGATTTTACGACTTCGGACTCGACGGCGAACAAGAATACCTAGTCGATGATATCCTCACTCATCGCTGGGCTGGTCGACGTATTGAATTCTTGGTACGTTTTGATGATGGCGACATCCTCTGGGAGTCATACGATAATTGCAAGGACCTTGAAGCTCTTGACAGGTATCTCGAGCTACAAGGTATCTCGGACTGGCGACAGCTGCCGCGACATGCCGGGCCCGACCGCCACGCGCGAAGATCAATGCGCCCTGGCGGGTGATAGTTCCACTATCTAGATCGGCGACCGACTCGCCGCCCAACACCCCACTACCTGACGACCAACAGTCGCCAGAAACTCTTCGAACCCGCGTCGAACATTCGCGACTATCCTGCCGCGACGCTCGTAGGCCGACGTGATGCCTATTAAAGTGCACGCCGCCATCGCGCCGTGCTCACCAAATCACCTAACTACTCATCTGTGCGTGCTCTACCCTCGCCTCTTTTACTATGTCCACTGCTATCCTTACTGCCGACGTCGACCACCCCATGGCCAACATCCATACTGTGCAGGTCGCCAATGGACCTGTCACCAACCCTGTCGCAAACATCGCACAGGCGCCTGCGATGTGGCGCCACAACGAAGGCGTGAACGCCGTCTTGCACGCCAGCAACTGCGGCGTCTGCGACGCCTTTTTGCACCACGCAACCGACGCCCTCGGTACTCGCAACTACCAGGTCGCACGCACTGAACAGGACGACACCGCCGCCCGTTCTGCACGACGCGAAGCCTATGAACGAGGCTACGAGGATGCGCAACAGGACCGTGCGACGCTCGCGACCACGATCCAGCAACTTCAAGCTCGCATCGCGGAGCTCGAAGGCCAACTCGCCACCCGTGCAAACACCGGTGGACGATTTCCTGGAGGGGGAGGATTGGGACCTATTCGCAATAGGTTCGCCCCCTACAACACTGATTCCTCTGTCGATACTTACCTCGACAATAGCCTCACTCGCAGGTTCAACACGAATGAGCGTATCCGTGGACCCGCTCGCCACCAGACCCTCATCATGTCGGAGGTACCTCTGACCATCGACGAAGTCGACGGCGCACTGCGTCGAGCGCAGATCGACGACGCTGTAGGCCTCGCAGCCGTGCGCCAGCTTCAGCAATGGCGCAGGGCGATCTTCGCCACCCTCGCTGTGGGACGACCCCTCTCAGTGACCCAAGAGGCCCTGCAAAACCATTGGGTTGGACTACCCGACTGGTACCTCCACCGCTTCCCTCGCACCCCCCGACTTGATCGCACGACGAACCCGCCTACCCAGGAGCAGCACGAGACCCCTCCGCGCTATACCGACCCAGCCGAGAAGTGGGCATCTTACTTCTCGCGCTACCCAAGAGCCCGCCTTCCTCGCGGACTTGTGCGCGACAACAGCGGTCAAGTCCCCATCGACCGCGCGAATCTTCATTGCATGATGATTCGCATCGCCTCTCCCCTCACGTCGACCCGACGTCGCTACAAGTCGGCCATCTTCGACACGCTTGCCGCCCTGTTCACCGACCCGCAGGTCTACGTCGCACACCTCCAGGCCGCGAATGTCAATCCCGAATAGGGCAGAGCACGGGTATACCCATGGGTATATCCGGTTCGACCCGTACCCGTACCCGCCCCGGGTACTGACCCGTGCCAACGGGTACGGGTTAAAGGCGGGTCACGGCGGGTCCGTGCAGGGTCCGCGGGTCGACGAGCAAGGAAGCGGGTCTGTCGGCAAGTGGGTGCACGGACGAGCGAGCAATCGCGTGGGCGATCGTGTGCATGAGTGCCGGCCGAGCAGAGCAGAGGAGGGCACGGGCGAGAGGTGCATGTGAGAGTGTGGGCGAGAGGGCGCGAGGGCGCGAGGGCGCGAGCAAGAGGGCACGGGCGAGAGGGGCGCCAAGTGCACAGGCGAGACGGTACACGGGCGAGACGACGGGCGAGACGACAGGTGAGCGAGACGGCAGGCGAGCGAGTCGGCGGGCAGACCGTACGAGATGGTGGGCACAAGGGACGACAGGCGAGACGACGGGCGAGACGACGTATGAGCGAGACGGCAGGCAAGCGAGTCAGCAAGCGAGCGAGACGGCGGGCGAGCGAGACGGCAGGCAGAGCGTACGAGATAGTGGGCGCGAGGGACGGCAGGCGGGACTGCGAGATGGCGGGCCTGCGAGATAGGGGACCTGCGAGACGACGTGCCCATGAGACGGCAGGCTTGCGAGACGGCAGGGCGTGCGATGGAGATAGTGTGACGGTGGACAAGCGAGACGGCTGGCTAGAACGGTGGGTGACAGCAGGCGACCGCATGGTATGAGCTCTCACCTGTCTCCCCTCGTGGCACCCACTTGCCAGCTTCCCCCTCGTCCGCCTGCCTGCTTGCCCGCCCGCTCAACCACGCGCCCACGCGCCCGCTCGCACGCCCACTCGCCAGCCCGCTTTCCTGCCTGGTAGTCCACTAGCTTGTCCACCCGGCCGCACGTTCGAAGGCCGCGCCTGTACACGGGGCATTGGCCCTGCGTGCTCGTGGTCGCCGTACGTGTCGTGCAACGGCCTATCACTGCACGTCTCTGCGCCGTGTGCTCGCTGTTAGCATACCCGCACGAGTTAGGAGATGTGACTCACGACCTGGCACCATATGTGAGACAAGAAATGTGGGCATGGAACCGACGTACCTCGACCAAGCCCGGGCTCCTAATGGTGCAAGTTTTTTCGCCTTCGCCGTGCTATCGAAGGACGAGGGGTTGACGTCGAGATCAGTGCACTTGGAAAGAGTCAGGCAGAAGGTTGAAGAGATAGCAGAGCGGGTACCCGAAGAACGAAGCAGTCCCAAAGCGACGTTACAGGAGAGCGCCGCGAAGAGTCAGGCAGGGAGGAGAAAAATAGCCATTCAGGCGAAGTCCCGAATATGCGTCAAGCGAGTGTATAGGGCTGAGCATTGCTAATAGAGGGAGGTTAATTGCGACACCGCGTGCCCGCCCGTCGCTTGTGCGCCCGCCGTCCGTTCGACTGTCATATCGTGCGTTCGGGCTTGTTGTGTTCGGGCGGTGGGATGGCACGAGCGCGTCGTTGTGGTGGTTGTCCGTCCCGGCGGTTGCGCAGGTGGCGGGTACGGTCCGGGTCACGGGTCACAGAAACGTGACCCGGACCCGTACCCGGGGGTACCCGTACCCGGTACCCGCGCGGGTTCCCACGACCCGTGCTCTGCACTAATCCCGAACCGGCCCTCAATATCACCCCGTTGCCGGAGACGCAGAACGGGGCTGTCGTGACGGTCGACGTCACGATGACCACTGTCGCGGTACATGCGGCGCGCTGCGGCATCACCCCGGAGTTCGTGCTTCACCACCTCTGCCTGTGGGCCCGAGACTACCTAGCGAGTGGACTACGAACGGCAGACCTGGGTCCGACCGCGACTGGAGCCCCGCTGGTGGCCGAGCACATCGATGGCGAGGTCGCACCAGGTGGACAACCCGCGACTGGCCACGGCGAGCAGCCCATTCCGAACGTCGCAGCCGGCGAAGAGGCAATGGCGGTCGAGCCGCTTGGTCGGGACTCGGCGTAATGCCGAGGGATGGTTCGTCCTCTCTCCATACTCCTTCTAAAAGTTTGTGTTTGCCGTATTCGCGATCCTATGTATCCGTTGTTCGTCGCACTTCGCACCGACGAGCTTATGCCTACTACCACTGAGTGGCTTGTTCACCACTTATTATGATTATGTATTTACGAATCCCCGTCGACTTTAGCTGCGACGGGTGTCTTCATTATGCACATTATGCTATATTCTATGTACACTGCCCTATGTCGACGTCTACGACGTTTTCCTGGAGGGGAGGATGTAAGGACGATGGTAAAGTAGTTTAGTCAGCGCCTTAGTCAGCGACCCGGAGTCCGCCGAAGGACCGTTTTATAGCTGACGCGCCCCGTTGCTCTCGTCGTCTTTTCCCCCATCGTTGTGCACCGCTCGCCCCTGCAATATACAGGCTTTGGCTAGCTCAGTACGGCGTCCGAGAAGACCTACACCCCTTACACCCCTCCCTGTGGCGACGGCAGTAACGCAGCTCCAGTGCCGACAGATGTCAGGTTCTCATTGCATCGCGCAGCGTCGATTGCGACATCTGCCCGCTGTCTGTCAGGCCATCCACGAGGCCTTGCCAGCCATCCGCCGAGTTCACCGCCCAGGTGGTACCGTCACTCCACCGACTTGGTCTCACCGATTTTGTGCCAATACCGGCGGCTCTTTTGTGTTGTGACAGGAGTTGGGCTCGGCTGTCCCGACACGGTTCACATTCCGAGGCACCGTCGGCGTGTGCGTGGAGCATCCTGACTGCCACCCTCCAATCCGTCACCGAAGAAGAGAATATAGTCGCGGCGGTGCGCGGTGTCCTTTCGGCGGTGTCGATCGCGTCGAATTTCACGCGTCTCTCTTGGTTCGTTTCGCTCCACAGCATCTGGGGCTTCTCTTGCGTCACAAAAAGTCGAGCTATCAGTCGCCCGAGTGGCCAGAGCCTGCGTTCCCTACTGCTGTGCCCCGTCCCCAGAAATCGTGGATGTGTTCGTGGTGCATACCCCCAGGAAAGTCGGCAGATAGTCAAATGGTCTGCTGCGGCCGTGTCCGATGGAACGCTTGGGCAGCTAGTGACGCCTGGGGAACTCTCCTGGAGCGCTACGGGATCGACTCCCCCCCATTGAGCGGTTACTTTTTGCATAATCACGACACGACTTCCCGATCATCACTGGACCGTCCGCGTCACTACCAAGGTAATATCATTTCCTCACGCAGAAAAGGCTTCGAAAGTGAAAAAGATCGCTCATGTTTTTCTGATGACATAGACAATGACACCTGGGAAACGCGTCGAAACACGCTTTTCCTAGACCGAGAATGGTGGCTTGTGGTCCGCTTCCCCTGCCCGCGAAGGGATGTGAAAGTGCATTCATTTCGCTGCAACCCTTGTACGTGGAGGAAACGATGATTCTTCTCGGGCGTGTCGATATCTGAGTGAGTCCGTGCATGCTGATTGGTGTGCGCAGTGTGATGGCATTGGCGGGTGAGACGACAGAATTGTGCGGGCACGTCGTGCACTCCGCGACAGATCACTTCCGTATCGCACACTCCATTGGCTCGGTACGCACGCATGAGCTGTCGCAACGGTCGTGCGCACATTTTAAAGTTTACACCCGTCACAACACCAGTGGGCAGGTCATAACCTACCAGTGACAGCGATCACGTGCGTCAATAGGTTGAGTTCGCTCTCCCCGCGTCCGAGCCTGCACCAACTTGACCGCGTACCCCATTCTGACCCTTTTCTCTCGGCAGCAGGCTGTCGCACATTATCGTTTGAACACACACGCCGGCGACTACAATGCAACACTATATCTTAGAGATCCACTACCACGGGCGGAAGGCAGAGCTGGCCCTTTTGCATAGAAACAACCCCCGGTATATCGAAATCTTTCTCCAGGGCGACCTGTGCAGCCTCGAAATCCCGCGCGAGCCTGCGGCCACCGTCGCGAGTTTCTGGCAAGGCGACGTGCCGGTGGTGCGATGCTCGTGGAACGCCGAACATTCCACCGACGACTTGGAGGCTCTCGTGCGTCTCTTCCTCATCTCAGGGAGACCTCCCGCTTACTCCTCGTCCACGCTTTGCAGTATCAGGTGCTAGAAGAGTTTACGCCGACGATGCTGGCAACATGCACGAGGCGGCAGCAAAAAGCGCTCAACGCCACACTGCGGGACCTAAACATGTGAGCGCCATGACCTTGAACACTTCCGGTCTTCGCTAACTTCGGTAGTGCGACGCTTACTGTCGAGTTCAAGTGGGTTCTTCTGCTACATTCGGTGCACCCCTCACGCAGCCTGACGTGACCTACAGGAACGTGTCTCCGGCCCCGGAAGCGCCTGCGGCCCCAGCTCGACAACCTGCACCGCCAAAGCGCCCACGTTCACCTGTCGATGGCGGTCATGCCGAGCCTCAGAACAAGCGTCCTCGACAGGAAGCCTCCGGGGCACAACCCTCCGCTCCCGGAACGCGCCCGACGGCTATGAACACGGCAAGGACTCGTCCCGAGGGTGACAACGCTCCTGCGACAGGCTCTAGGTCTGCTCCTGCTGATGCTGCTCAACCTGCCGGACCTGCTCGCGCTGCTGAGGCTTCTGAGTCTGGGGTGACTAGATCTGCTGCTCGCACTGTGCCCTTGGATACCTTGAACGCTGCTTCTTCGCGGGCTGTTGCGGACGATGTAGTGGTGAAACAAGAAGACGCGGACGACGCCCATGCACTCGGGGGCGCCGCGAAGGAGAATGCACCGCCAGGTCCTCAGGACGCGCCGGGCGATCAGGGCGAGCGCAACAGGGGCGCGACTAGTATCGTCGGCACGCTCAAGACTGCGCTCGACGCTGCGGTCGCTGCAGCAGACGCACACCTGAATGGACTCAGAAGCAACGTGGAAACTCGCGAGCTTGAGACGGCACGACTAAGCAAGCGGTTAGCCCGGCAATCAGCCAAGCTTCGAGCGACGGAGCAGGCGCTCCAGCAGCGGGAGAAGGGTGAGTCTCTCCCTTGTGCAAACCAGATAGTACTGACAGTGTCGCTTGGTCGCAACGATCTGCAGATGTGGAGGCCGCTGGCGCGCGGAATGACGCGGCGTTGGCACGTGCTGCGAGCGAGGTGTCTGAGGCGAGGGCAAGCGAGAGCGCGACGGCCGCCCAGTTGGCCGAAGCACGGGGCCAGCTGGCCGAAGCGCGGTCCCAGTTCGTGCGTGGGCGTTTGCGGCTGGCGGAGGTGACCGCCGAGCGGGATCGCCTCGCGCAGCTAGTCGCTACGCTCCAGGCAGACATTGCGCGGGATGAAGCGAAGCACGAGGCTGAACTGAAGGCTACGCAGGACATGAATGCTCGTGAGTTGTCGTACGGAGCGGTGTTGGGTTCCGTCTGACTCCTTCCAGTGCTGCGAGCACAAGTAGGCACGCTGCAGTCGGAGGCGCAGGCAGCTCGAACTGGTCAGTATGTTTTCGTGGTTCCTGGGAGCGGGTGTTGACACAGCCTACTAGTGGCTTCGGAGGAACTCCGCCAATCAGAGCTCAGGGTACAAGCTGAGATAGATAAACGACAAGCCGCGGAGCTCAAGATACAAACCGAAGTCGAGAGACGACAAGTCGCAGAGCTTAGCGCTCAGGGTGAGTGGGTTTGCGATCCGTCGTGCCTCCGTGTATGCTGACCACAAGTGACGGGTAGACCTGAGTAAGAAATACGTCCGGACGCAATTGGATCTGCTGGGCGAAATCAATTGTAAGCCGTACTGAGCGTCCATGCATTACTTTTGTCGTGCTGACGATGGACGTATGTACTGTAGTTCTTCGCGAGCAGGCCTATTCATCATCTGCTGCCTATATGGCTATGAGTCAAAGGATGTCCTTGTACGGCTGGAGAGGCTGAGCACAGCGACTGTTGAGCTGGAACGGCGGGACCGTATTGCACGACTCGGATGCAACCCAACACAGACTACTCCTACTGTCATTTATACATTTTACATCGGTTTTGTGTCTCGGATCATCATGTATTCCTTATTGTATTGTATTCATAGTGTATCGGCGACCTGTGTTGATCATTTGTAAGAACCAGTCGATTGAGGAACGGTACAGGGTACTACGTTTTTGTCGGCTACTTGAGGTGGAAGAGCCCCAGGGGTTGTGACACGCCTCGCCATGAGGCTACCGGATGACGCGACGAGTCGTCCTTGTGCTCTCAACGACGAAACGCTCACCGTCGAATTTGAACGTTTGAACGGCCGTATGCGCGACGCGACGTGCGTGGTAGCTCAATCGCAGTGACGCATTGAACGCGAGATGCTCAGTGCACAACGCACATTCGAGTCTCCCGCCGTGTACGACACCCCTGAATCAAACATGAATCAAGCCACTACGAGGGGGGGAATCATCGCTGTTACACAGGAAGGTACTACATCAAGGGACCCACACAGGACAACGCGTCTATTCATACCGAGTGTCTAAAGGATTGTGAGAGTAGAATGTGTGTGGCTGCATCGTGCACTGTAACGTATGTATACAATCCGGCTTACTGAACACATTGACGCCATAGACCGGCAATCGTCGCGCTAACACTCCATCCCGCCGCGCGAGGACGCCCCATGGCTCCCAGCTGCATACCAGTGGGACACCGTAATGATAGATAGTCACGCCCGCGAACGTCATGAATGAACTTGAACGACGCACCGAAGGCCTCTCCCCGGGCAACCGCCAAGGTGGGGCATGGCTCGTCTGCCTTCGCAGCGCGGTCGTCCTCCAGCTTCCGCGTAAGCGTCTCCAGTTGCCGGCGAAGGGCTATACATCCGTGTGTTGTCAGCACATCATCATTGAGAATCACCGCATCGGCTAGGGCAGCTTACCGAGCCTCATCCATCAGCTCCCACATTTCCCGGGCGAACTTCTCGCTCATGACTGCTCGTCGCTCGTGGTCAGCGTTTATGAGCACGCATCCTTAATCGTGCTCACTCTGGACGTTCCGCTCCACAACCAGCCGGTTGTCAACCTCAGCTTGTGAGCTCAAGTCACAAGCTGAGGTTGACAGGCGGCTGGTCGTCCTGCGCGAGCCGGTCCCGCTCTGCGGTCATATCGACCAGCAGCACCTGCCCCTCGACCATCAGAGCCCGCGCGTTCGCCAGCAGTGCGCACGCCTCCGCCACCTCGGTGTCTGCGTCCCCGCGCGGTGTCACCGTCTCAGACAGCCGGGCCTCGCACCGAGCGAGCCGCTCGTTCGTCTGCGCGACGTCTCCCTGACAGGCCTCCAGGTCACGCCCGAGCTCCACCAGCCGCGCGTGTCTTGCAGCGCGTGTCGGCCTTGGCTGCGCTGCGGTCGCCTGGATCGGCTTCTCGCCGGAGACGCTAGCTCTCGGGCTCGCCCGCGACAGGCGAGCGCGGGCGCTTTGACGGTGCGGGCTGTTGAGCGGGGGGCGTAGGGTCTGAGTGTTCGCGCCTGTGGGTTGGTTTAGGCTGCGTGAGCGGTCAGTGCAGGAGAAAGGCCTACGGGGACTCGGCGGTGGGCGTTGCGCTAGAAGACTTCGGAGTGCATGGCTGCCGTCGTGCGCGTGTGCGACAGCCCGCTGTCTAAAGGAGGAGGGGTGCGCGGTCAAGTGACTGCCGGCTCCAAGAACGGGAGAGTGGGTTCAGCCGGCCCACTCGTGTCGTGACAGTCTGAGTCTTCGGACATGCTCGCAAGGCCGCCGTGCCAGCTCGTGCGCGGTACCAGTGGAGCGCGAAGCACAGAAGCGGCCCGCCGCGGGCTTCACGACGTGCAGACGTCCGTCCCACTCAGTTTGCCTGCTCGCGGTGCCAGTGGAGAATCGACCCCGGGTGCGCTTCGAAGGCGCGACTCCCCAGGCACCATGTTGCCGCGATCACGTTCGGAGGCCACGACCGCTTCGTTGAGCAGTCAACGTGCGGGAGTCCACGCATCGTTCGCATTTAGAGGTCTGAGTGGGAGGACAGGCGGTCGGGACGCGCACGCGCGGCGGCGGATACGACGCCAGGGTGCCACAGGGAAAGCCTCCACTGCAAGTTGTCGAGCCGTCAAGACAGAAGACCATGAGCTCGTAAATCGAGCATGACGCCACTTGACACGGCCTGTAACGGAGCCAGCGACGTGCCCGCAGGTGCCCGCACCCGGCCCGGTCATCATCATTCTGCACATCAATGTCAGTCAATCAAGGTTGACCGTGTCAGCGTCCGGGGAAGCGCAACAGGTCGTGGAGCTGCAACGCGAATCGCCCGCCATCCTGGGCGGAGACGCAAGCAGAAAAAAAAGTGAAGTGAGGTCATGGGGTGGCGGAGAATCGATCCCCTGGTGCACTTCAGGCGACAACTCTCCAGGCTCACTCATTGCCCAGGAGCCACCCATCGCTAACCACTACGCTACGCAGCATGATTCACCACGACACGTACCACAAGTATTCCAGCATCGGGCCTAGCGAGGATGCGGTCGACTCGGAGGGATAACTGGGCCAGGCTGGACAAAGGCTAGAGCACCATTTCTGCCAGTGTCATCTAAGAGACGGAGGCATCCAAATCGACGGGTCCTGTGAGGCCTCGAAGGCTCACGAGGGATCCGCCGAGATACCCGTCGAGCTGAACGGGCCCCGCGCGCGCTCAGAGAGGGGCCATCCCCGTCTCCGAACGAGGGACGTCGCAAGCGAAGTCGTCCCGGCGCGGAGAAGGAGCGAGCGCGGTCGGAGGGCAAGCCCGGAGACCGCGAGAGAGGGTCGGCGACGCGTCCCGGAAGGGGAGGCTGCGACCAGGAGAGTCAGCGAGAGAACAGGAGAACGAGAGACGTACCTCTATGTACAGGCCCGGCGGTGGCTAGACCAGCCGTGGGCGGAGGACGCGCGCAGAAGAGAAGGAACCGGAGACGAACGTGAGTGTAGAAGTAGATGTATTCGAGTATGCGAAGTGTGCGAGGATACAGATCGGCTTACGTAACCTAACGGGCGACTAATCTACGGTACGTGAACAAGTGCGGGTCGCGACCCATTTCCCTCCGGTAGGCCTCTTGGAAGACCCACGTCAGGTCATCTTCTATGGCCCTAACAGGTCCAGATGCTTTGAACGGCTCGGCGGATCCATACGGTAAGTGTCATAAGTAATCGACGTCGACGCTTACCGGAACAGCCGTCTGCGGCGACGCAACGACAGCCTGTCATCCCAGGGCATCCACAAGTTGAGGTTATGTAATTCAAATGACCCACCCGGTTTGCAGGGTCGAACCCCGCTGTGGCCGCTGTGGCGTGACCGCCCCGGGCATGCCTAAGTCGCGTCGCGCACCGTTGTACTATTAGTAGTAGCCCTACTTACTGTACAATCGTGGTATATACTATGTACATCACAGATCCATCAATAGATGCGATCACAAATCATTGTATTGCACTAGCGCATCATTACAATGTACTTATATTAAATCGACATCACGAATGTTAGTAACTCGTGTGAGCAAGCTGCAATACAAGTTACTTTGGGGTGTGCACCATCGCGCGACTCCCGGGCCCAGTCCTCGCACTCAGCCTGTTAACATCGCGTCCTGGCATTTGTCCCACATCGGCGACTGGTTGCCGATTCTTTAGACACTATCATTTAGACATCCTGTACCGTTGGCCCCTTCTGGCAACCCTGATCAGACCTTGTTGTTGTTGTTGATTCCCTTTATTGTCACTGAGGGCGAAGCCCTATGTAGACAGTACATACTTTACTCGGAACTTATCTCGTCTCGTCTAGTCTGGGGTCGCTGAGCATCGCCGTTCGCCGAAGCTGCAGGCAGGTATAGTAGTGTGTGGTGTAGGTAGGCGTGTGTGTGGCTACTAGGTTGAGTCGGTGCAATCAAGTGGAGTGAAAATAGTTTCGTCACGGATCGTGTGTCGCTCGTCAGCGTGTTCGGATCGCGTCCTCCTTCATGGTCTCTTTCTTCGGCTCTAGGTCTCCGTGCGCGGCCGCGGAGCGGCCGGTGTCGCAGTTCGTGTGTCGCTCGTCAGCGCGTCCGGGTCGTGTCCTCCTTCGCGGTCTCCTCCTTCAACTCTAGGTCTCCGTACGCGGCCGCGAAGCGGCCAGTGTTGTGTATGTATCGGAATAAGGGTTTCATGGTGCTCGCTGAATTGAGTAGATCTTTAATAGATCGGGCTGCAGGGCCTGCTTCGCGTGCAAGTTGGTCTCGCTGTTCATTGAAGGCCGGGCACTCCATGAGGAAGTGATACACCGTCTCGCGCGCGGTCCTGCAAGACGGGCATACAGGTGTGTCCTCCTTCTGGATCCTAAATAGAAATTTCTGCAGCGGAACATGTTCGGTACGTAGTTGAATCAAGATGCTCGCCTGTTTCCGTGGTAGTCGCTCTGCGAGTTTGTTGTACTTCTTTGACGGCATTTCTGGGTCTATTCTGTCCATCTTCGCTGCCCTTGGGGACGCCTTCCACTCCTCCTTCGCCATGCGCCCTAATCTTTCGTTCTGCGTCTGTCTGACACTGGACAGGCTCGCGGGGAGAGTCTTCTTCAGCCAGTCCGGGAGGTCCTCGACCGGACTACTATCTCCTCGCGCCGCCTTCTTTGCCTCCACATCCGCCAACTCGTTGCCGTCGATCCCCTTGTGTCCTGGTACCCATCTCAGGGTGAGGTCTATGTTCGGGTGACGTCTCTCGAGCCTTCCTATTGCTTGCAGGAGCTGATCTATCATGTAGTGTGCCGGGTGCGGTTTACGATTCTTCGCTGCGTGTAGGCTCGCCAGGTTATCCGCGGCCGCGGACGCTCGTGTGCAAGATAGCTCCCGGTGGAGGAGTACAACCCCGAGGTTGAGGCCGATGATCTCGCCTTCATATACGGTGTGTTTTGTCGACGGGCCGAGATGGTATCGGAGGACCTTGGGCACTCCGCCCGGTATGATCAGGACGGCCGCAGCGCCGACTCCCTCGTCTATGTCCGACCCATCTGAATAGACTCTCCATCCATCCTTCCTCGCCCATACCAGTTCCTCGGCTGCTGCGTCCTCTTTCGATGGTGCTATTGATACCCGGAATGGGGGTCGCCAGCTTGGTGGGAGGCGTACCGCCTCGATCGTCTCAATCTCCTCGGGGTCGAGTTCAAATGCTCCGAGTATCTCGTGGAGGGGGCTTCGGTGTTTTTTGACCCATCTCGAGGCTTGCTTGACATGTCGGTGGAGTGGGTGAGAGGTGGGTAGAGTGCATAACCTAGAAGCTTCGTGCATTATCATTTTGTCCACTAACAGGTGAAACGGAAGCAGATTCAAATGCGCAGTCATGGAGTCGGTGGGCGTCGAGCGCATTGCGCCCGATATCATCAGGCAAGCTTGTCTGTGGACACGTTCCAGCTTACGAATTACTCCAACAGATCCGTAGCGTCGCTTTCTGCCCTCCATCTGCCTCTGTGGGACAATCCATACGCTCGCAGCATAAAGCATGGCAGGGATGAGCATCTGAAGATACAGGGACTTCACGTGTCTCATGGGGATCCCGTGTTTCGGACGCGCGAGGCGGCCGAATTGTAGCAGCCATGTAGTGCCCTTCTTCAGGGCGTACTCGGCCTGCTTTTTGAATCGCAGCTTTCGATCTATCCAGACTCCTAGGAACTTCGCGTCCTCGGAGGGCTGTACCGACCCATCTGACAGGTCTAGCGATGGACCCAAGTCCTCTTTTGCGAGTCTCGGGTCAGCGTGCAGAAGACACAGCTTCGAGATTTCGAAGCGGGAGTTCCGTGTCTTGGACCACTCCTTCGCGCCGCCTGTGCGTTCCATGTAGTTCCGTAGCTTCGTACAGGTCTCGTCCAGGTCCTTTCCCACTACGACCGTAGCCACATCATCAATGAAACCGAGCGCCAGCTCGCCTCTCTTCTTGTCAGCGCATTCCAGCAAGACGAGGTTGTAGATCTTATATAACAAAACTGAGAGCGGGCAGCCTTGGTCGATTCCGCTCAGAATCTCGAATAAGTCGGATACGAAGTCATCAAACGTCAAGCGCGTCTTGCGCCCTTTGAGCTTCTCGCGAAGCCAATCTACCACCGCAGCGGGTACGCCGCGCATCCGAAGCTCGTGAAAGAGTCGTTCCGGGATGGCGCTAGGGAACGCCGCCTCGACGTCAAGAAACAGGACTGAGGCGACCTTTTTGGTTCGCCATGCATCCCGGATTGTTTTGGTCAGGAGATGTAGTGAGTCAGTCGTCGTACGACCCGCCCGGCCTCCGAAGTGGAGGTTAGGGAACAGGTTGAGCTTCTCCAGCTCATATTCCACTGTCTCAGCGACACATGAAGATAGAATCTTCGCCATGCAGCTCATGAGAGCAATAGGCCGGTATGCCTTAGCAACAGAGTAATCACTCTTCCCGGGTTTCCGCAGTACCACTGTCGTGGACAGCTTCCACTCCTCGGGGTAGTACCGTAGATCAAACGTAGCACGGAAGAGGCAGCCGAGTATGGGGACCAATAGATCTGCGCACCGTTTGTATACCTCATTTGGTATTCCATCTGGGCCCGGCGCCTTGAACTCCTTTAGTCGATGGCACGCCGCATGGACCTGTTGGTCTGAGACGTGTGCAAACTCGAAAGCGGCGGGAGGGTAATCCTCGGTATCTGGGTCCGGGAGCTCGAGGTCGGGTGGAGGCTGCGGGAAGAATGTCTCGTACAGGACTCGACTCTTCGCTTCATTCCCGCGTTCGAGCCGGGCGCTGCCTGGGCGATGTAGCGGGGGCACCCGGCTCTTGCTTCCGTCTGTTGATCCGGCGCGGATGTACTTGCCTACGGTCCAGATCGATTTTGCGTCCGCTTCTTCGAGCCATGCGTCCCAGTGCGCTTTCTTGGCTGTGCGCACCTGGTCGCCATATCTGTTTCGAAGTTGCCGGTACTCCCTATGGATGGGATGGTTTGGGAACTCGCGCTGCTTGAACGCGCGGCGTCCCTGCCGTCCGACTTCCCTCCGCAGCTTGTCCAGCTCCTTCGAGTACCACCGCTTAGCAAACGGTGGCGGTTTCGTCTCCGGTACTGTCTCCTGAATAGTTTCAGTGAGCGTAGTCATGAGCGTGGCTAGTAGTTCGTCAAAACTTTCCTTGGATTCCATTCGTCTGTCTGGTACCGGCACGTCCTCGAGTCGTATGGCAAGCTCTGTTCTGAACTCGTTCCAGTCCACCTTCCTGAAGTTTCGAAACTTCCGGGGTATCGCCCTAGGGACGTCGAGTAGGAACGTAGTGCGAATGGGGAAGTGGTCGGTGTGGGGTGGGCGTATGTCCGGGGCAACCTCGCATGATATTAGGCAGTCCTTCAGCCCTCTGTTGCGAAGACGTTGTCTGGGCGTGTGAGGTTCTTTGTGCGTGAAGCCTCGAGCGTGGGGATGCCCTGTGGTAGGAGCATGTGCATGTCAAAGACACTCAGCATGTCTATGAGCCGGTCTGCTTGGTCTAGGGCCTGGTTCGTGAACAGGTGGGCGTTCCGTTCATCGTCCCAGAGAGGATGGTGGCGGTTGAAGTCTCCGAGCCAGAGGATATGACGTTCAGGGTCCTCATCGTCATCCCGTAGTAGCTTCCGTGTCTCCCGAGATAGAACCGCCTGGGCAAGATTACTGTCCTGGGGATTGTAGATATTAAAGATGTGTATCGTAGAGGCGGTGAGGCGGAGCGTAATCGCCGTGATGTCAGGGGACTTGATCGGGATCGCTGTCCAGCTATTAGTGGATACGTGTTTGTTAATTAGTAGGACAGAGCGTGACGTAGCCTCATTATCTTTGTGACCAATAGGGTAGATTACAATCCAGTCAGCAGCCGCGCGGGTGTTGTCGAGGTGATCAATGTAGGGCTCTTGCAGGGCTACTATGTCAAACTCGGCAACATTGTGGAGCAGGGCGCACTGGGCGACGTTCGACTTGTTCACATTGGCTTGGCAGACCTTGAGTTCCCTAGAATGTTCCATCATCATTGAGGTTGTTGTAATACTCCTGGGATCTCATTGACGTGCGCGAGCTGGGGCGAGTCGGTGGTGCAGAACGTGTGGTGAATCCGCCTTCGCCTGTCAGCGTTGACTGGCGTTTGCCATCCGCCGATCGGAAGCTGGTAGTCTGTGGATGAGAGTAATCAGTAGCGACACTCGGGCCAGGGCCCTTGCCTGCGCGTTTCCATCCCTGGTCTGGTTCGTCACCCCACGAGGTCGCAAGGCGACTCGCTCGTGCTGGGTGCATGCGGCCATGGTCAGCCGGCGGGCCCGCAGGCGCGTCATCGGTACACTGCGGGGGGGCAGCGTCCTCCGGGAAAGGGAAACGGGGCTGGTCTGGTAAGTAGCGTGGTTCCCAAGAAGTCGGGTCATCAGCAATCGGGAAAAACGGTACTGTTCCAGCGTGTTAGCACGCTGGATCTTGTGGTTCGCCTCCATGAATGTGGGGCAGTGGCGTTCCCAGGATGCATGTCCTGCCACCTTGCAGTTCACACACCAACGCTTGCGTCCCGGAGGGACCTTGCACTTCTGGGTCGTGTGCTCTGGGGACGCGCATGTTCCGCACTTAGCAGTCTCGGTGCAGTCGGAGGCCATATGGCCTGGTTCCAGGCGCTGGCATTTCATGCAGCGCCGCGCCTCCTTGACCAGACGCCAGGCGTTCAGTCTTTGGCCGAAGTACATGAGGCCATTGACAATGACGTCATTGGCTCTCTTCGCACTGCTGAACTTCGCGATTGCATACGCGGTCTGCTGGTTCAATTTCGTTATCAATCGGCTTGATCCAGTGCACCACCATTAGATCCTTTCATTCCAGCCATTCTCTTTCTCGAGCAGTCTGTACGCCTGCTCGCTCGGAACGAAAGACGTCGACACATTCTGCCAACCACAGCATAGTGGCGTGCTCGCACGGTCGCTTCGAGGCCGAACTTGGCTGTGAAAGCAGCCAAGTGCTTCTCGATCCTCATCCAGTCGACCACCTCCTTGGAGGTTAGCTCGTACAGGATTCCCCCGTTCTTGAGCTTCTGTGCGGTCAAGAACTTCGCCCCCTCAGGGACTACGATTCCTCCTCGTTGCCATCAGTTCTAGTGCAAGGTTGGCCTTCGTGACCAGCTCCAGCTCGGTGAGAGGCGTCCATCCTCTCTAGCTCTCGACTTACGTCAATTAGCATCTGACGTCCTCGTGCGCTCTGTCGCTTCATCGTCGAGGCATGTGCGGCAGGGAGCTGATGCTGGATGGCCGCCGCGTACGAGGGTCGTCCCCCGCGCCATCCATATGGACACCTCCGTCATTCACAGGAGCGACGTGCTCATGATGTACGACTTGCGGAGGTGCCTTCAGCACCTCCTGCGTCTCTTTCAAGGCACCCTGGAGGTCGCCTCGCAGGCCGTCGACCGTCTCCAGGTCCTTCGCCAGCTTCTTCTGAGACGCAGCGATCTTACGCACCTCTTCGGTCAATCTCCCCAACATCCCGTTTAACTCCGTGGTCGATTGCACCTGCCGGTCCACCATTTCCTCCAGGCGGCCGGCCTTGTCCTCGTCGAGCTCCCCTGGCTCGGCCTCGCTTCTTTCCGTGAGCTTTATCAGGATCGGACGTATGTCGTCCAGGACCTTGGCGGCTGGACGGTTGTCGCGAATGGCCTCTGCGTAAGACGCGAAGGCGTAGATGGCCTCTCGTACCTGCGCCTGGTTGCTCGTCTCGGCGCAGAAGCGTAGGCCCTCTACCAGGGCACCCACCGAAGGTTGGGTCTCTTCTGGTATTAGGGCTCGGCTCACTAGAACCTTGTACGCCTTGTCGTACGAGTCCACCTTCTCTCTCTCCGTCTTCAGGTCCATCGGCGGCGCCGAGGCTGTCGCTCTCGTGTTAGGTCGCTCACTGGCGCCTCTCGTCGTCGGTGATGCCACCGGTTTCGCCGTCTTTGACGTCGTCCCTCCCTTCGCGGAGTTCGACATCGAGCCTGAGTAATGTAAAGTACTAGTAGTATTGCCTAGCGAGCTTTCTGTAAGCTCCTGTTGCTGTCCTCACGTCCGTATACCCCTCCCGTCAGAGGTCCGGACCGTGGGAAAATCGCCAGAGGTGAGCGTTAGAAGCAAAGAGGGATCTCCTGATCAGACCTCAGAACCATACTGTGCGTAGTGCGGGTACACGTCCACTGACGGAAACGGGAACATTCTTCGAGTCTCCCAGTAACTCGGCTTTGATCAGCTATGTAGGTCTGCGAACCAGAGAACAGCGGGTGTCTTGTAAAGATCTGATCTCGGCGCCCGAAAGTGAATTTCCCTGGGCGCCTGACATTTGACTCCGCGACGCCGGTTCGCGATCTCCGAGATGGGCCCTATTCGATTCGAAGATGTGCTTCCGCCCCTGTCGCGAGCTGCCAGCACCCAAATGCAAACTTCTCCCCGTCTCTCAGTCATCCGCACTGCAGCTCAGTAATCTGTGATTCTGGGTATATATAGGCACTGGAAAACTACGACACCTGCGATTCTAGTAGGAGGACGAATCGATGACACGCAAGGCAGGACGGCTGTCAAGTCCGCAGGTGTGTCGTAGTGGTCGTCTACCTGCCGGGGTCACCGACGTGTTGCGAGGGCGTCGTCGATACGTCAGCAGCTCTGGCTCAAGATATATCACGAAGGCCAGCGAGTCCTCTCCGGTGCCGGTTCACAAGCTTGAAACCTCGAGTTGTCGGTCGCCCGAGTGGACGAAGTCTGCGTTCACTACTGCCGTGGCCCCTCTCTATCAGTCCCCAAAACTCGTGGATATGTTCGTTGTACGTATCTATCTGTAAACCCGACAGATAGTCAAACGGTCCGTCGGGTTGAGAGGCGTGTACGGTGGCCCGCGTTGGGCAGCAAGTGAAGCCTGGGGACCCTCTCCTGGAGCGCTACAGGATCGACTCCCCGCCACGGATCGAGCAGTCACGTTTTGCATATTCACAGCACGACCTTCAGATCGTCACTTGGCCGTCTTGTATGTCTCCCTGAGACTTGTCGTCGACGCTGGCAGATCTGACAACTAATTTTTGTGGCAGGAGACCACGGCGTCAGTACGTACTATCGGTACACCAATTCCGTGCTGCTGATTGGTGTGGGCGGTGTGATGGCAAGCGAGGCGACGGAGTCGCGCGAGCACGTCGTGAACTCCACGGCAGACCGCTCTGTGGTCCGCGCCGCACTCGCTTCGTGCACACGCATATCAAAGTAATGTCTGTGTCACGACGGCCTTGTGAGCGTGTCTGAGGATATGGACCTCCACGGAACGAATTAGGACGGACGGTCCATTGCCTACCAGTGCCATCGATCACGTGTGTCATCAGGTCGAATTCGCTCTCCCGTCCCCCGAGTCGACACCAGCTTCACTGCGCACCCCATTCTAACCCCTTCCTCTCGACAGCGGGCTGTCGCACATTCTTTCATCATACTCTGCAGCGGCCACCATGGTATACTACGTCTTGGAGGTTCACTACTGCGGAAGGAAGGCAGAGTTGGCCCTTCTGCATAGACGCACCGCCGCTGGGTACGTCGAAACCTTTCTCCAGGACGACCTGCAAAGCCTCGACATCCCGCGCGAACCTGCGGCCATCGTCACGAGTTTCTGGAGAGACGAGGTGCCAGTGGTGCGATGCTCGTGGAATGCCGAACATCCCACCGACGACTTGGACGCTCTCGTGTGTCTCTTCCTCGGTCCAGGGAGACTTACCGCTCACTCCCGGTCTACCCTTTGCAGCATCAGGCACTAGTAGTGTTCACGCCAACGGCGCGAGCAATACGCACAACGCGGATGCGTAAAGTACTCAATGACAAACTGCGCGAGTTGCAAATGTGAGTGCAACCACGGTGTATAGTCTGGGTTATGGTTCAAATCGGAGTGTCTTCTAGTACGGTGCTCACTGCCGAGTTCCGGTTGGTTCTATTACTACGTTGATGACATCCCCCACGCAGCCTAACGCGACCCACAGGACTGAACCTGTAGCGGTGAAGCAAGAAGTGGCAGACGACGGCATCGCACTCTGGGGCGCCGCGAAGGAGAACGCACCGCCAGGCCATCAGGACGCGCCGGCCAATCCAGGACATCGCAGCAGAGTCAAGCCCGGCGCTCTGAAGACGGCTCTGGACACTGCAATCGCTGCAGCGGGCGCGCGCCTGGAGGCACTCGGGCGCGACGTGGAGGCCCGCCAGGATGACATAGTCCAGACGGGAGAGTGGCTCGATCAGTATGAGGCACAGCTGCAGGCGAGACAGATGGCGCTTCGCGAGCGTGGGATGGGTCAGTCTCATATTCAGCGCGCCTCGCGAGTGCTAACACTCATTCGCAATGACTCCCAGACTCGGAGACGGCTAACGCGCGGAAGGAGGAGGCGTTGACCCGAGTCGAGGCCCACTTGTCTGAGACGCTGACGGCGCACAGCACAGGGACACCCAGATTGCTGACGCACGAACCCAGCGGGCGAAAGTATGGGCCCAGCTGGCAGATAAACAGACCAACTTCGTCAAGGGGCGCATGCAGCTGACCCAAGTGACCGCAGAGCGAGATCTACTCGCGCAGAAGAAAGCGACGCTTCAGGCGGACCTTGTGCAGGCGAGGATGACAGAGGATGAACAACAGGCTCGGCATGACACGATTGCTTGTGAGTTGATTACAAAAGGCAGTTTGGGGTCTGTCTGACCTCATTCAGCGCTGCGGGCGGAATTGGGGACACTGGGACCGGAAGTGCAGGCAGTACGAGCGGCTATTGCTGGTAAACATGTTGGCATGGTTCTCTGGAGTGGGTACTCACAAAACCTACTAGTGACGGAAGAGGAACTTCGCCAGTTGGAGCTCAGCACACAAGCTGAGATCGAAAGGCAAATGATCGTGGAGCGAAACACCCAGAGTGAGTACGACCAATCATGCATGTTCTTGTGTGTACTGATCATGAGCAACGAGCAGTCTTGAGCGAGAAGTTCGTCCAGACATAGTTGGATCTGATGGGCGAGGCTCTTGGTAAGCTGTCCTAGGCGATGCAGTGTTCTCAGTGATTTGACAACACACGGATTTTAGCCCTTCGCCAGCATCTAGACACGCTCATGCAGCAGCTAGAGGATGAACGCGCTGTACGCAGGCGCAATGCGGAAGAGCTATTCTCCACTGGCCACACGGAGGCCTTCGGTGTGTTATCTCCTCATGACGTTCGCGAGCGTGCCCTATTCACGAGTGTCTTCCACATGTAGTGGGGCGTTCTCGCATTGCGGAGGGATGGGCTGCTAGTGCGACGAGTGTTGAGCTGGAACGACGGTATTGACGCTGTCAGCCAGTTGGCCGTCAGTGTGCCAAGTAAGCCACACCCCTACTGTGACATGTCGTAGTACACGCTACAGTCAAACACGGACTACTCTCACCATCCTTCAGGCGTTCACTATCCTTTAAATACCCCTTGAATGTGTATCATCTCGTATTGTAACGGTCCTTTCATGTATCATACACTGTATCAGCGATGTAATACCTTTTGTTGGGCTTGATTCGAACAACGTAGTGCACAGTAGCAGAAGATGCTGGCCCAGGCTAGTGCAATACCCAAGGCTGACACTCTAAAGCATCTTGCGACCGTTGCGGCACTGCAGCGATTGAGCTACCGTGCGCATATGATTCAAGTGGCTCGAAGGTGTCGGTGAGGCCTGAAGTACCCTTCATTGACACGACTGGTGGCGTCGTCTGGTAGCCTCAGGGCAAGGCATCCGACAGCACCCAAGGCTTGGTCGAGACTGCGAAATGTCCGGAGTGTCTGACAATAGCATACCCATGAACCCTTCTCCGATGGGTATATTTAAATGACAAATAACGCCACGGGCAATACACTATAGTAAGGAAGACATGATGATACGATACACATAATCGATGTGAGATATATAAAGACGGTGAGAGTACTGTGTCGGGCTGCTATGTGCACCACGGCGTGGCAACAGCTTACGGGTAGATCTTCATCCTCCTGCCCATAGAAGATGTCCCTCAACTCACCGCTGCATAGGGAACATAGTGGTAAGTAGGCCATCGCGGCCGCGACCGTCGTACAGTAACGACGGACCAGAGGATTCCCTGTGCGCAGCGCGCTCGCCCTCTAGCTGCTGCGTGAACATCTCGACCCGCTCGCGAAGCACTGGATGTCCGTCCGTCGTCAGCGCCATGAGAACGCATCTATCTCCCAGGACAGCTTACCAGAAATGTCGCCTAGCAGATCCAGCTGTGTCCGGACAACCTTCTTGCCAAAGTCTGGCCGTCACTCGTCATCAGCATACACAAGGGCATGACTGATCGTACGCAGACGCACTCTGAGCTTTCAACTCCACGGCCTGTCGTATGTCGACCACGGCTTGCCGCTTGAGCGTTGAGCGGCGGCTGCCCTCTTCAGTCACTAGGAGGGGTGTGAGTACCAGCTCCGAAACGCCATGACAACATGCTTACGAATAGCGACTGCGTGTATCGCCTCCGCCTCCGGTCGCAGCGCGTCCAATTCAACTCGCAACGCTGGAGGAATTCAGACGGGATCCAACGCTACCCATGCCCATGGACTCACAAGTAATCGTGTCCTGCGTAACTTGCTGTTCGGCTTCGCTCGGCTTCCTCTCCTGCACAGCTTGAAGGTCCGCCTGAAGGGCCGCCACCTCCTGCGCGAGCCGATCCCTCGCTGTGGTCACCTCGGCCAGCCGCATCTGCCCCCTGACGGCCTGGGTCTCGGCGTGGGCCAGCTTCGCCTCCGCCTCCGCTACCTGGGTGGCTGTCTCCGCCAGCTGGGTATCCGGGGCACTCAGCCTTGTCCTCGCCTCGTACAACTGGCCCTCAGCGCGTGTCAGCGCCGCGTCCGTCCGCGCCGCATCTGCCGCCATCTCTGCGGATCGACATCAGCACTGGCCGCAGCGCACGGGAGGAGACTTACCCCTCTCTTGCTCGCGGAGCGCCGCCTCGCTCGCTCGCAGCCGGGCTTCGCGCTGAGTGAGCCGGTCACTCACCCACGCCGTCTCATCCCGGCGGTCCTCGAGATCGCGCTGGAGTTCCTCCAGGCGCGCGTCTGCTGCAGCGGCCGCCTCGTCCAGAGCCGGCTTCAGACTGCCCACAATACTGCCCA